TAATTTATAATTAATAAAATAAATAATATTTATTAAGTTGATTGACTAATTTAGTTAACTAAATGGACAATGATACAGAGGACAAATAAAGGGGACGAATTTTTGAGACCAATGACGTGCCAAGCCACGTTAATATATTAATTTCAAAAAATTTAAATTAAGTTATGTTTTGTTGTTTATCTTCTACCTCCTTTTTAGTTTTTTTTTTTCTTTCCAAATCTCATATCTTTCTCTCTCATTTCCCCATTTTTTGCCAAGCTCCTCCTCTAGTGAACTTCGTTGAACTCAAGGATCAGGTTCAACCCTATCCTAGTGATCAAAATCCTATAGCCATGGTTTTAAAATTTCAAAATAAGAAAAAAAGAAAAAAAGAAGAACAAGAAAAACTAAACCGTAATTATTTGGTAAAATTGAACCCTAATTTATAGATATTCTAAATTTACAGTTAGTCTTTGCAAGGGATGAGAGAAATAACGACAAAGGATAAAGATTTGGAAGACAAAGGATGGAGATTTGGAAGACAAAGGATGGAGATTTGGAAGAAAGAATTCGGATTTGAATGAATCCAAAACAAGAAAATGATTGCAAAAACATGGGGAGAAATGGAAAGGGGGTAAGATGCCTACCACTTAGATTTGTCCTGCAAATTCGTTCCTCTTTTTTGACTTTCTTATCATTATTCTAACTAAATTAGTCCAATCAATTGAACCAAATCTAATAACTAAAATGGATCGATCACCAGGCCGAAGCATTGTCTTCCGTTGCATGTCATGATACTCAATGTCGCAGGCCCTTATGCTATTTGGAGAACTCTCCCTCCCCAAGAAAAGGGGTGGGAGTGGGCATGCCGGGGTATGTTGTGCAATATATATATATAGATATATATATATTTTTTGGTACCAACTACCAAAGGGCTTTTGGCAAATTGATCATCGTTCCCGATCCCGTGCCGACTATAATTTTTTTGTGGCGATGATACTGTGCCACATGAACTTTATTCATCAGCGTCATACCATAAAACCTCAAATTAAAAGTAAAATTTTTAACAATAACTCCTAAAAAATTTAAAAATTTATTTATTATGTTAAAATAATTATTATTTTTTAATTTTTTAAAATTAAATATTTAAAAATAATTTTT